GGGGGGTGGGGGATTCCACTGTGTACATAAGAAAAAAGAGGGAGAAGATTCGGGATTCGGGAAGAGAAATTAATTAAAGGCAGTGTGTGCATACGGCATGGCGGCGAAGCTCCATCCAGCGGCAGCCTCCAACATCCGGCCTCTGACCCTGGGTGTGATCCCGGCGTGAGAAGTCTTGCGGACGGGATCTGGGACCCCCCATCCACCCCCGATCCGGTCCCCGACCCCCGCGTTGCCGCGCGACCCTGACATTGAGACCGCATTGGCACTGTAAGACATAGAGCCGGCCCACGATCTCCCAAAAGACCTATTAACAGATGACCAGAAATGAAGATGTTGCATGTGTACGGAATTTGCGATTTGACTGATGATTCATACGTAAAAGTTCGCGAGAAACACGATGGTGCCACTGGTTTTCTCTGAAATCAACTCCTAAGCTCAAAAAAGCTCTCAAGTTGAGGCCAAAATGGAAGGGATATCCCACGCTATCCTAAGAGTCCACCTAAGCTCTCCATGCAATTAAAGATAGGGAGCAAATACATTCACAAGGTTGCCACTTTATTTGGGGACTCTAAAATTGAAAACACGGCATCCCTGCTAATGTATTTGCTCCCTATCTTTGCATTAAGAGCTTTGGTGGACTCTCAGGATAGCGTGGGATATCCCCTCTATTTTAACCTCAACTTGAGAGCTTTTTTTGAGCTTGGGAGTTGATTTCAGAGAAAACCAGTGGCACCATCGTGTTCCTCGCGAACTTTTATATAAGCATCAACAGTCAAATCGCAAATTCCTCACACATGCAACATCTCCATAATGTTCGATATAAGTCGAATTCTTAAAGATCAGGGCCGAATTAAACTTCTGATAGTTTTATTTGGTGAAAGAAGTCCATCTCAATTGGATTATTCAAGAAAGGACCCGCCTGTTTCCTGTTTAAAGATTTTAGGGATGAATTTTGGAGGCTATGCTGGAAAAAAAAATTATTGGATTCAGAGTCCAGCAGGCTGATTGTTGAAATTGATAGACGAGATAGACTAAGAAGACATAGGGAGTATGGAGCGATTCTATTGGTTGAAAAGGGTGGTTTACTAAGGGTGGACTAAGGAGGTAAACGATGGACTAACTAAAGGGTCTCATGTGTGTTGCCGTTAGTTAGTATATTACCTACCTCCATTATCCATTACATCGACTATTACACTCATGTCTTTTTTCAAAACTCTGAAGGTTAATAGAATTCTTTCGTTTAAATGCGTTAACGTTGGAAGTTACGAGAGATCACGAATTATAACGCATTTAAGTCAAACCAAGCCGGAATTTGACGGTTTGAAGATTGCTGCTCAAAAAAATAACCGAAGGACCATATTTAGAAGCTTGCAGTTGAATCTCATTTGTGCATGATGCATTTTTGTTTCTTTTTTCAAAGGAAGAATTTACGACGCATAATTTTGTCTAAACACAGTTTTTGCGCACTTTATTTCGGTGCGAATAAAAAGATGAACTATTCTATGTCTTTACTCCGGAGATGCCGATTATCATCGACATGACAAAATAGAAAATTCGGAATGAGGAAATCATGAAATTAATGGGCTTACAAGACAAAAACTAAACTGGGCCACATGACAGAGCACTGGTCGATGAGAGGACGAATGAATCTGAACAGGAACCATTTCAGCAATTTGTCACGACCAATGTGGTGACGCGGGAATCAGTGAATATATTGATGTTAGAAACGGGAAAAACAGTATTTTATGGCGTTAAATGTTTGAAAAAAAATAAAAATAAAAATGAGAAGAGGCGGATGGAACAGGTGCTTCTTAAGAAAAATTGGGTCTAATAGAGAATATCTGACTTCTGCTGAACTGAAAAATGACATCGAATAAACGACTTAGCTATGTTCGTCTAGATCAATTCCTAGTTCTAGAATAAGCAAAACATTCTTCCTGATTAAATATATGCGTAAACACTAAAGGTGAAGAACATCGGCGAAAATTGACAAACGCGGACCAACTCGTGTCTGAAACTTCTATCAATTATTTCGAGACATGGGACATCAATCTGCGAAAACCAATGCCTAAAGTATCGTGAACCGCAGAGCAAGCCTGAGGAAAAACTGGAGTTTTCCTTGATAATAAATCCGTCAGCAAAATCGAGGGATTCAATTGCAGAATAAGGAAAAATTTTGAGACGGACATTTTGTCAATGTTTCCGTTTCACCGTGGAAGGGTAAATCAAAATTACCGATTCTCAGAAACAAATTGGTTCCAAATTCCAAGAACTAACGGATTCATTAAATTGAATGTCTTAATTTGATATCAATCTAACCAAATCGAAATCATTCGTTTAAGGAAAAAAATGTACTCCTATCAATCAACCTGCACACTGTTTTCATTTTGTAAGTGAGTGTTTTTCTCTAAGGAACAATTTAAGGCACTGGGCATTCCTTTACGGGATCAGAGGAGTCGAAAAATGATTCACAATGCAAGGTCTTGATGACATAAGCCGGTTGACATCTCATATGTAAATCTGCACAAGGTCCGGTCTTTTTTTTTTCGCATCATACTCAGTGTTGTCATCAAAAGACGGAGAAAATTGACCACCATCTTTTGAAAACACACACGTCGTCTCTTGAGTAATTACTTAATTTATCTACGATGTTCAAGAGACACGTTTGGAACTCGGCTGTAAGATTCCGCAATGCATCGAAAGATGAAGTTAAGGGGTAGAGTCCCTTTACAGAGAGAGTTGAGACAACGCGGCTTGTGGATGTCACAAACGGGAATAAAGATTACACAAATCCGAAGTTTGCTATGATCTTTGATCAACCCATTCCCGAATTCCTGTCTCCGTTCCCACTCTCATTTCATTTGTTCCTTGCCGTTTCTCCTATTCCCCGGTCCATTCAAGGTTATAATCTTTGCAACTGGTGAAACTGAAATCTTTATTCCCGTTTGTGACACCGTGAAGGTCTAAAATACGGGAACCAATCAGAAATGGATTCGCATTGCCTTT